CTTAGATCTCCCTCTCAATTTCTCTCTGCCTCTACTTCATCTTCAGTCTCTCCCTATCTCTCTCTTTCTCTTTCCTTGTCTCTCTCCCTCCCTTTCTCTGCCTCTCTCTCTTTCCCTTCCCTTACTTCTCTCTCCCCCTCTCTCCCCCCCTCTCCCTTTCCCCTCTCCCCTTTCTCTCCCCTTTCCCTCTCTCCTCCCCCCCTCTCTCCTCCCCTCCCCTCCCTCCTCTCTCCTCTCCCCTCTGCCCTCTCTCCTCCCCCCTCTCTCCTCTCCCCCCCCTCTCCCCTCTCCTCCCCCTCTCCCCCTCCTCTCTCCCCCTCTCCCTTCCCTCCTCCCCTCCCCCCTCCCCCTCTTAAGCGTAGTCGTACCGGAAGTGACGTCATGGTTGATGTGGTCGTCTCTCACGTGTGTGTCGTTCACGCGGGTCACGTTCTTGGCGTGGATGACCGCGTTGGGGACGCCCTGGCCCGTCAGAGAGTCCCTGACCACGCCCTTCACGCCCAGGTGGCTCTGTGGGCGGGTTTGGGGTTGGCTAAGGCGACTTGTGGGAAGGTACTGTGGGTTGCGCTAAGTTGGCGCTAACTATTGGGTTTGCTAGTTACGGGTGCGCTAACTTGTCGCTAACTTGTCGCTGATTTGAGGCTAAATAGGGAATGCGCTAACTTGACGGTAACTGTGGGCGGGGTTAACTTGGCTTAACTGTAGCCACGCCCCCCTCCTTTACCTGTTTACTACCTTTTTATTACATTAAAAAATCTATACCCTATTATTACCGCAGCAAATAAAAATAAATAAACTAATTAACATAGATATAAATGTATCTATGTATCTAAAATCTTGAACACTCGATGTATCACAAAAAAACAAAAAGTTTCATATAAGCATTAATATATCTATACAATACAAACAAATAATAAATTAATACAATGCAGTATAATGGGATCACAGCAATAGCATAATACAGTGGAAATACAACAGAAATACAATAAAAAAGAAAAAAAGAACAAAAAACACAAAAAACACACATGAAAAAACACAATAGAAAATGCACTAGAAAATAACAAACAAGAAAAAATACACTTAGAAAATAACAAAACAAGAAAAATTGCACTAAGGAAAAATAACAAACACTAGAAAATAAGAAAAATGCACTAGAAAATAACAAACAAGAAAAATGCACTAGAAAATAACAAACAAGAAAATACACTAGAAGAAATAACAAACAAGAAAAATGCCACTAGAAAATAACAAAACAAGAAAATGCACTAGAAAAATAACAAACAAGAAAAATGCACTAGAAAAATAAAACAAGAAAAAATACACAAGAAAATAACAAACAAGAAAAATGCACTAGAACAAACAAACAGAAAAATGCACTAGAAAATAAAACAAGAAAATAACAACAACAAGAAAAAATGCACTAGAAATAACAAACAGAAAAATGCACTAGAAAATAACAAACAGAAAAAATTGCACTAGAAAAATAACAAACAAGAAAAATGCACTAGAATAACAAACAAAGAAAAATGCACAGAAAATAACAAAACAAGAAAATAACACACAAGAAAATAACAAACAAGAAAAATGCACTAGAAAATAACAAACAAGAAAAATACACAAGAAAATAACAAACAAGAAAAATGCACTAGAAAATAACAAACAAGAAAAATGCACTAGAAAATAACAAACAAGAAAAATGCACAAGAAAATAACAAACAAGAAAAATGCACTAGAAAAAACAAACAGCACAGAAAATAACAAACAAGAAAAATGCACTAAAAATAACAAACAAGAAAAATGCACTAGAAAATAACAAACAAGAAAAATTAACATAACAAAGAAAAAATGCACTAAATAACAAACAAGAAAAGCACTAGAAAATAACAAAACAAGAAAAATGCAAAATAAACAAACAAGAAAAAATGCACTAGAAATAACAAACAAGAAAAATGCACTAGAAAATAACAAACAAGAAAATAACAAAACAAGAAAAATGCACTAGAAAATAAACAAAACAAGAAAATGCACTAGACAAATAACAAACAAGAAAATGCACTAGAAAAAACAAACAAGAAAAAATGCACTAGAAAATAACAAACAAGAAAAATGGCACTAGAAAATAACAAACAAGAAAAAATGCACTAGAAATATACAAACAAGAAAAATGCACTAGAAAATAACACACAAGAAAAAATGCACTAGAAAATAACAAACAAGAAAAATGCACTAGAAAATAACAACAAGAAAAATGCACTAGAAAATAGAAAATTAACAAACAAGAAAAATGCACTAGAAAATAACAAACAAGAAAAATGCACTAGAAAATAACAAACAAGAAAAATGCACTAGAAAATAACAAACAAAGAAAAATGCACTAGAAAATAACAAACAAAAAAATGCACTAGAAAATAACAAACAAGAAAAAATGCACTAGAAAATAACAAACAAAAATGCACTAGAAAATAACAAACAAGAAAAATGCCACAAGAAAATAACAAACAAGAAAAATGCACTAGAAATAACAAACAAGAAAAATGCACTAGAAAATAACAAAACAAGAAAAATACACAAGAAAATAACAAACAAGAAAAATGCACTAGAAAAATGAAAATACACAAGAAAATAACAAACAAGAAAAATGCACTAGAAAATAACAAACAATGAGAAAATAACACAGAAAATAACAAACAAGAAAATGCACTAAAATACAAACAAGAAAAATGCACTAGAAAATAACAAACAAGAAAAATGCACTAGAAAATAACAAACAAGAAAAATGCACTAGAAAATAACAAACAAGAAAAATGCACTAGAAAAATAACAAACAAGAAAAATGCACTAGAAAATAACAAACAAGAAAAAACACAAGAGAAAAATGCACTAGAAATAACAAACAAATGCACTAGAAATAACAAACAAGAAAAATGCATAGAAATAGAAAAAATGCACTAGAAAACAAACAAGAAAAATGCACTAGAAAATAACAAACAGAAAAAATGCACAGAAAATAACAAACAAGAAAAAATACACAAGAAAATAACAAACAAGAAAAATGCACTAAATGCACTAACAAATAACAAACAAGAAAAACACTAGAAAATAACAAACAAGAAAAATGCACTAGAAAATAACAAACAAGAAAATGCACTAGAAAATAACAAAAGAAAAAGAAAATAACAAACTAGAAAAATAACAAACAAGAAATGCACTAGAAAAATAACAAACAAAAAAACACTAGAAAATAACAAACAAGAAAAATGCACAGAAAATAACAACAAGAAAACACTAGAAATAACAAACAAAAAATGAGAAAATAACAAACAAGAAAAATGCACTAGAAAATAACAAACAAGAAAAATAGAAATAACAAACAAGAAAAATGCACTAGAAAATAACCAAACAAGAAAATGCACTAAGAAAATAACAAACAAGAAAAATACACAAGAAAATAACAAACAAGAAAATGCACTAGAAAATAACAAACAGAAAAATGCACTAGAAAATAACAAACAAGAGAAAATAACAAACAAGAAAAATGCACTAGAAAATAACAAAACAAGAAAAATGCACTAGAAAAATAACAAACAAGAAAATGCACTAGAAAATAACAAACAAGAAAATATGCACTAGAAAATAACAAACAAGAAAATGCACAAGAAAATAACAACAAAGAAAAATGCACTAGAAAAATGCACTAGAAAATAACAAACAAGAAAAATGCACTAGAAAATAAACAAAGAAAAATGCACTAGAAAATAAAAACAAGAAAAATCACTAGAAAAATAACAAACAAGAAAAAACACAAAAAATAACAAACAAGAAAATGCACTAGAAAAAAAAACAAGAAAAATGAAATAAACACAAAAAAATGCACTAGAAAATAACCAAACAAGAAAATGCACTAGAAAAAATAACAAACAAGAAATGCACTAGAAATAACAAAACAAGAAAAATGCACTAGAAAATAACAAACAAGAAAATGCACAAGAAAATAACAAACAAGAAAAATGCACTAGAAAATAACAAACAAGAAAAAATGCACTAGAAAATAACAACAAGAAAAATGCACTAAAATAACAAACAAGAAAAATGCACTAGAAAATAACAAACAAGAAAAATGCACTAGAAAATAAACAAAAAAATGCACTAGAAAATAACAAATGCACTAGAAAATAACAAACAAGAAAAATGCACTAGAAAATAGAAATGCACTAGAAAATAACAAACAAGAAAAATGCACTAGAAAAATAACAAACAAAGAAAAATGCACTAGAAAATAACAAACAAAGAAAAATGCACTAGAAAATAACAAACAAGAAAAATGCACTAGAAAATAACAAACAAGAAAATACACAAGAAAATAACAACAAGAAAAAATGCACTAGAAAATAACAACAAGAAAAATACACAAGAAAATAACAAACAAGAAAAATGCACTAGAAAATAACAAACAAGAAAAATGCACTAGAAAATAACAAACAAGAAAAATACACAAGAAAAAACAAACAAGAAAAATGCACAAATAACAAACAGAAAAATGCACTAGAAAATAACAAACAAGAAAATGCACTAGAAAAATAACAAACAAGAAAAATACACAAGAAAATAAACAAACAAGAAAATGCACTAGAAAATAACAAAACAAGAAAAATGCACTAAGAAAATAACAAACAAGAAAAATGCACTAGAAATAACAAACAAGAAAAAATGCACTAGAAAATAACAAACAAGAAAAATGCAAAATAACAAACAAGAAAAAATGCACTAGAAAATAACAAACAAGAAAAATGCACTAGAAAATAACAAACAAGAAAAAACTTAACAAACAAGAAAAATACACAAGAAAATAACAAACAAGAAAATGCACTAGAAAATACAAACAAGAAAAATGCACTAGAAAATAACAAACAAAAAAAATAACACAAGAAAATAACAAACAAGAAAAATGCACTAGAAAATAAAAACAAGAAAACACTAGAAATAACAAAACAAGAAAAATGCACTAGAAAATAACAAACAAGAAAAATGCACTAGAAAATAACAAACAAGAAAAATACACAAGAAAATAACAAACAAAAAATGCACTAGAAAATAACAAACAAGAAAAAAGAAAATAACAAACAAGAAAAATGCACTAGAAAATAACAAAAACAAGAAAAATGCACTAGAAAATAACAAACAAGAAAAATGCACTAGCACTAGAAAATAACAAACAAGAAAAATGCACTAGAAAATAACAAACAAGAAATGCACTAGAAAATAAACAAGAAAAAACAAGAAAATAACAAACAAGAAAAAATGCACTAGAAAATAACAAACAAGAAAATACACAAGAAAATAAAAAACAAGAAAAATGCACTAGAAAATAACAAACAAGAAAAATACACAAGAAAATAACAAACAAGAAAAATGCACTAGAAAAAATAACAAACAAGAAAAATGCACTAGAAAATAACAAACAAGAAAAATGCACTAGAAAATAACAAACAAGAAAAATGCACTAGAAATAACAAGAAAAATACACAAGAAAATAACAAACAGAAAAATGCACTAGAAAATAACAACAAGAAAATACACTAGAAAATAACAAACAAGAAAAAATGCACTAGAAAATAACAAACAAGAAAAATACACAAGAAAATAAACAAACAAGAAAAATGCACTAGAAAATAACAAACAAGAAAAATACACAAGAAATAACAACAAGAAAAATGCACTAGAAAATAACAAACAAGAAAAATGCACTAGAAAATAACAAACAAGAAAAATGCACACAACAAGAAAAAACACTAGAAAATAACACAAGAAAATGCACTAGAAAATAACAAACAAGAAATACACAAGAAAATAACAAACAAGAAAAATGCACTAGAAAATAACAAACAAGAAAAAATGCACTAGCAAACAAGAGAAAATAACAAACAGAAAAAATGCACTAGAAAATAACAAGAAAAATGCACTAGAAAATAACAAACAAGAAAAATGCACTAGAAAATAACAAACAGAAAAATGCACTAGAAAATAAACAAAACAAGAAAAATACACCAAGAAAATAACAAACAAGAAAAATGCACTAAAAATACAACAAGAAAAATGCACTAGAAAATAACAAACAAGAAAAATGCACTAGAAAATAACAAACAAGAAAAATGCACTAGAAAATAACAAACAAGAAAAATGCACTAGAAAATAAACAAGAAAATAACAGAAAAACAAGAAAAAAAACAAGAAAATACAAACAAGAAAAATAACACAAGAAAATAACAAACAAGAAAAATGCACTAGAAATAACAAACAAGAAAAATGCACTAGAAAATACAAACAAGAGAAAATAACAAACAAGAAAAATGCACTAGAAAATAACAACAAGAAAAAATGCACTAGAAAATAAACAAACAAGAAAAATGCACTAGAAAATAACAAACAAGAAAAATGCACAGAAAATAACAAAACAAGAAAAACAAGATAGAAAATAACAACAAGAAAAAAGCACATAACAAACAAGAAACGCACCCGAAAAACACAAACACCATAAAAACACACCACAAAAACAACAGAAAACACCAGAAAGAAAAACACACACCAAAAACAAAAAAAACACACCACAAAAAACACAATTGAAAAATAACCATTCTCAAAATAATAAATCTCTAAAAAACAACACAAGACCAAAACACCCAAGTCTGTACCTGCCACATGTACTCCATCATAGCGTCCTTGTTGTCCAACCACTCCTGATAGAGAGCTGTTGCCGGCGGGTACTTATTACAGCCAATTTCAAGGGTCACCTCGAGGTCGTTAGAAGACAGGTAGTTGAAGTCTTGCATACCTGGAGGAGGAGGAGGAGGAGGAGGAGGTCCCAGAGGTGGGTTTGTTAGGGTTTTGAGGTACGTTAAGGTGGCTTGTTTTTTTTAATGAGTTTTAAAGTGGGTTGTTGGGTGGTTAAGGTGTCTGAGTGAGTCGTTGACAAGCTATTTGTTTTTATTCTATTTATTCTTCGTTCAGTTGTTAGCCACATATTTATTCGTAAAGACTACTCGTTCATTAATAGTAGTTACTCTATTTATGAAAAAACATTTACCCTCATTTCACAAAACTCCACCACTCCACTCATGTCTCAAAAACCCAGTCTCAAATTAACAAAAAAAAAAAAACACCCTCAAATTCACACACAAACCCCCCCACTCAATTCACAAAACCCCGCCCACTCATTCACAAAACCCCGCCACTCAATTCAACAAACCCGCCACTCAATATCATTCAACAAACCCGCGCACTCACCGCCACGGAGTACCAGGCGCGCCGTTGGTCCACTCCTTCCACTTCACGCCCTCCAACAGGCCCAGAAGGAGTACTCGCCGGGCTGGCAGGATGGGCGTTTAGGATCGGCCATGTGAAGGTTGTTGGTAATTCGGAGGCGGTACACTTCTGCGAATGGCTGCGGGGATGGAGAGGAATTAATGCGGGTTTTGATTTTTTTATTTCTTATTTCTTTATTATTTTGATAGATACGATAGAGAGAGAGAGAGAGAAGAGAAGCGCGGAGGGGGACGTGGGAGAAGAGAGAGAAGAGAGAAAGTGGGAGAGGGAGTGGGAGAGAGGAGTGAGTAAGAGAGAGAAGAGAATTGAGAGAGAGAGAGAGAGAGAGAGTGAGAGAGAGAGAGAGAGAGAGAGAGAGAGAGAGAGAGAGAGAGAGAGAGAGGAAGAGAGAGAGAAGAGAGAAGAGAGAGAGAGAGGAGGAGTGAGCAGAGAGAGAGAGAGAGAGAGAGAGAGAGAGAAGAGAGAGAGAGAGAGAGAGAGAGAGAGAGACTAATTGTTTTAATGGGTTTTATTTCTTCGTTTTGCCTGATTTATTTTAATTGGATTTTTGTTGCCATGCTCCAGTCTGTAAAGTCGTTATAGTTGTATATAAATACATAAAATATTTTTTTTTTATTTGTCATGACCCTTTTCAAAAAATATATATTCTATTAGCCAATCTTATTAATCCCACATACATATTATCATGTTATCATTCCCTATTTACGTCAAACAGATTAAAATAATAACTTCTGCCCTAAAAAACAACAATAAAAAATAAAATAGAATAAATAAATAAAAAATAGCTTCTCCTCTAAAAAATAATAAAGAAAAAAATAAGATAAAACAAGAAAATAAATAAAACAAATAAATAAAATATAATATAATAATAAAATATAATAATAAAAAAGATAAAACAAGAAAATAAATAAAATAAAAAAAATAAAACGCTCGTTACCCACCGGAACGTCTCATCGTCGGGGCTACGAGCGTACTCCTGAGCGGCGCCCGAGCGAGAGGCGTCGTAGGGGTAGTTGGCCACGAGGTCCCTCCGTGGAAGTTGGCCGACAGCACGAAGGGAGTGTTCACGATCCACTTCATGACGGCGAGGGTCTCCGGCTGGGGCTGCGGGAGGAGGAGGGGGAGGGAGGGAGGGTTAGAAGAGGGAGAGAGAGAGAGGGGGTAGTATGTGTAGAGAGAGAGAGAGAGGGGGAGGGAGGGTGGGAGGGTTAGAAGAGGGAGAGAGAGAGAGGGGGGGGGGGTAGGGGTATGTAGGTGGGGTGTGGAGGGTGGTGTAGAGAGAGAGAGAGAGTGTGTGTGTGTGTGGTGTGTGTGTGTGTTGTGTGTGTGTGTGTGTGTGTGTGTGTGTGTGTGTGTGTGTGTGTGCGTGTGTGTATGTGTACGTGTGTATGTGTGTATGTATGTATGTGTGTATTTATGTCCATGTATACCCACGCACCAAAATATTTCAAGTCAATTTACCATTCAAATACGTCAAGAAAAAAAACAAAAACCCAACCGCCACCAAAACAACCCCTAACAACCCACCTGGTGATCGAGCCTCTTCAGCTGGGCCATAAGGTGGTTGTTATAGTTGTTATGCCTCGCCTCGTTAGAGTACATGATACGGTCCAAGTCGGGGAAGTCCCTGTTGAGGTCGACGCTGTTGTTGTTGGAGCGGCCGCGGAGGTAGTCCTTACCGCCCTGGGACATAGGGGCGAATGAGAGGAGAGAGAGAGAGAGAGAGAGAGAGAGAGAGAGAGAGAGAGAGAGAGAGAGAGAGAGAGAGAGAGAGAGAGAGAAGAGAGAGAGAGAGAGAAGAGAGAGGAGAGAGGTTATTTAGGTAGTCCTTACCGCCCTGGGACATAAGGGCGAGAATGCCAGTGAGAGAGAGAGAGAAAGGAGTGTATTTAGGTAGTCCTTACCGCCCTGGGACATAAGGGCGAGAATGCAATGAGTGAGAGAGAGAGAGAGAGGGAGGTGTATTTAGGTAGTCCTTACCGCCCTGGGACATAAGGGCGAGAATGCAGTGAGGAGAAAAAGGGAGAGAATATAGGTGTATGGATGGTATAAGGGAGAGAGAGTAAATAGAGGATGTAGAGAATTTGTAAAGGAAAGGAGAACATGGTCTGTATAAGAAGGTATAAGGTATAAGATGTCAATGGTGTAACGTATGAATAAGAAATGAAGAACAAATAACATCCTATATATTTCATCGCAAAAAAAAATCGTCTTCAACAAAAAAATAAAAATTTTAATTCATCGCAAAAAAATCTTCAACAAAAAAACAAGATTAAAAAAAAAAAGTAAAAAACAAAATCCACATCACTTATTCACCCAAAAATTCACCAAGATCTATTTTCTCCAAATGAATAACCTTACATACCTTCCCACTTATACATTATCCCTTAAAGAAATTGTCAGAAAAATTGATAAATAAAATTAGGAAAAAATAAAAACCAACATATCCTTCAACACAAAAAAATAAACCATCGGGATCTCAAGCATTTCTCCAAACTTTCAGTATCGGTAGAGAGCCACCACAAAAAAAAAATAATAATAATAATAAGCACAAACCCATAACTCATTCACCTAAAAAAAAAAACACCGTCTATTCTCTCCAAAACGAATAAACACACATTTGCATACCGTCTTCACAAAAAGATCACAAAAAAGTTTTAAAAGTAAAACATAAAAAAAAAACATCCTTAACAAAAACAAAAAAAAAATCTCCAGCATTTTCTCAAACTAAAAAAAAACTCACCATTTTCTCCAAACAAAAAATAATTTTCTACAAAACTACATTCTCCAATCTCTCCTTTTCTCAAACTTCTCCAGCACTTTCTCCTAAAAAAAAAAAAAAAAAAAAAAAAAAAATAATAAAAAAAAAAAAAAGCAAAACCCCCCCCATTTCCCCCAACTCACAGTATCGGTGGAGAGCTGCCATCCGTCGGGGTTCATGGAGGGCAGCAGGTGGATCCTCGTCGCCTTCAGGAGGTCCTTGATGCCCTGGTCGCCGTCCCTCCAGCCCTGGCACAGGTGGTGGGCGAGGGCCAGCAGGAGCTCGCGGCCCAGGACTTCGTTGCCGTGCATGTTGGCCACGTATTTGAATTCGGGTTCCACTGTTGTCATCAAAACAATTATAAAAGTTATCATCATTATCAAATCATCATTTTCATCTCATTATCAAATTCATCATTTTCATCATCATTATCAAATTCATCATTTTCATCATTATCAAAATCATCATTTTCAACATTATCAAAATCATCATCAAAATCATCATGATCAATTCAGCATCCTTATCAAAATCATTATCCTCCTCCTACCCATCATCATTATCATGATCATCATCATCACCATCATCATTATCAATCATCATCATCATCATCATCCTACCACAGAACCCACCCCCACCCCTACCCCACCACCACCCTACCCCCCCACCCCCCACCACCCTCCCCATCCCCATCCCTACTCACAGAGCTCATGCTGTCCGGGATTATCCGAGAACTCTATCACCCACAGCGGGACGTTCCTCACAGACGGCTCGCTGAGGGCGTAGAGGCGAGCCACGTCCTTGCACCGCTCCGCCGTCTCCTTCAGCGCCTCCTCCACCTCGTCGTTGTTGTGGTGCTTGAACTCGAACTGGTCCTTGAGGGGCGTCCCGTTCCCCGAGGTGCCTGGCTGTGGGAGGGGGGAGAGAGAGAGAGAGAGTGAGAGGGGGTGGTTAGTTTGACGGTTGGTGGGGGTGGAGGGTGGTTGGGTGGTGTGGTGGGGGGAGGTTAGTTTGAAGGTTGGTGGGTTGGTGAGGGGGGAGGAGGGTGATGGGGAGGAGTAGGGTGGTTGGGGGGAGGGGAGGGGGGAGTTGAAGGAGGTGCCTGGTTGTAGGAGGGGGGAGAGAGAGAGAGAATGAGAGGGGGGGGTTAGTTTGATTGAAGATTGGGGGGGGAGGGTGGTTGGGGGTTGGTTGGGGGTGGGGGGGAAGGAGGGTGGTTGGTGGGGGTTGGTGGAGGAGAGAGAGAGAGAAGAGGTGGTTAGTTTGAAAGGGGTTGGTTGGTGGGGAAGATGGTTGGGGGAGGGTTATGGGGGGGAGGAGGGTCCTGGCTGTGGGAGGAGAGAGTGAGAGGGGTTAGTTTGAAGGTTGGTGGGGGGGGGGGGGGGAGGGGGTATGGTTGGGGTGGTGGAGGAGGTTGGTGGAGGGTTGGGGGGGTAGTGGAGAAGGGGGGAGGGTGGTTGGAGAAGGAGGTTCCTGGCTGTGGAGGAGAGAGAGTGAGAGGGGGGAAGTGGTAGTTTGAAGGTGGGTGGGGGGTGGGGTGAAGGAGGGTGGTGGGGGAGAGTGGAGGGTTGGTGGGGAAGGGTGGTGAGGAAGGAGGTTGTTAGTGGAGGTTAAATTGAAGGAGGTGGTTGATGGAGATGGATGTTGGTGGGGGAGGAAGAGGTTGTTGGTGGAGGGTGATGGAGGAAGAGGTTGATGAAGGAAAATGGTGGTGGTGGAGGAGGTGAGAGGTGATGATGTCGATGGAGGAGAACGAGGGAGAGGAGGAGGGTGAACAAGGTTAATGAAGAGGAATTATTAGGATGAGTAATAAAGACGGGGTTAGAGAAGGATCAGGAGGACGACAGAACAGAGGAGGGGGGGGGGGGGGAGGGAGGAGGAGGGGAGGACGACAGAAAAGGAGGGAGGGAGGGGAGGAAGGAGGGACAGACGGACGGAGGGGAGGGAGGGAGGAAGGAGGAGGGAGAGAGGGGAGGAAGGAAAGGAAGGGAGGGAGCGAGGGAGAGGGAGGGAGGGAGGGAAGGAGGACAACAGGAAAGGAGAAGGAGGAAGGGAGGGAGGAGAAAGGAGGGAGGAGGGAAGGAGGACAACAGAAAGGAAGGAGGGAGACAGGGAAGGGAGGGGAGGGAAGGAGGGAAGAGAGGGGAGGAAGGAAGGAGGGAGGGAGGGGAGGACGGGAGGGAGGGACGGAGGGGAGGAGGAGGAAGCGAAAGGAGGACAACAGAAAGGAAGGGGGACACAGGGAAAGAGGAAGCAACAAAAAAGGAGGGAGGGAGGGAGCATAAACTTTGGCGAGTGATGAGAGAGATGAATAATGAAGCGAGGATCTAATTAACTATAATTAATTAATGTTATGATTAGTTTGAAATTGCTGGCTGGAGCCTCCGTTCCCGTTTTCTATGGTACGGAACAAAAAAATAAA